ATGAAGAGAACTTTTCTTCCAAAAGACGTCAGAATTAATTAACAGCTCGTTGTTCATATAAAGGGTTTACAAACCGCGGTGAAGACATGCACAACAGAGTTCGGCTCCAGCTGGTCCTTGAAGTAAAACACTTAGTGAGACCAGCGAGACAGTAACTGCTCCTGTATCAAATTGACTCTTAACACACTGTGAAACCTTTGTGGGCTTAATTTTCTCTTAATTTAATACCCAAACTCAGTTTGAAGATCTAATTTTTGTGTCTATTTTTGGGCGTTAGCAACCAGTTTGATGTGTTTCATATAACTGAAGATCACCACGGGAGATCAAGGACTCCTGACTTGTGCTTTAGCTGCATCAATTAAGACTTATAAAATACTGTTGCAGACAAAAATGAAAGAGTCAAGGACATGTTACTATCAAGTGTTTGTAACTATATGTTGTTCAAGTACTTCAACTTTTTCTTAAGTCACTGATGTATGTACTTGGCATTACGTGGTCAAATGTTAAGTAGGTAAAAGAAAATGAAAAAAATCCTTTTATGTGTAAGCAGCGCTGGAGGTCACAGCTTCAGCGAGTTATGCAGTGCGTGTGCTGCATTGTTTCCTACAGTGTTTATCTGTTTCCTTAAGTAACAAGTAACTAAATGATGCTGCAGAATCAGTGCTTCATAAACAGCTCTTCTAACCCTCATCCTATCAGCATATTTAAAATACAAGGAATATAGAATCATAGCAAAATACCAACTTCTTCTCAAAACAATGTTGGTTATGTAACTAAGAAAAGTTACAGTGAATTTGCTTTTTGTATGAAACACTTTTCTTTAATGCAAATTGCAGCCTTTCCTCCAAGTAAGACCCACATTTGTACTTAAAAGCTCATTTACCATCCCTTGATTCTGGTATCATTCCATTTTCTGTGATTTCAAGTAAACATTTGTCATCATTGCCTACAAAAAAAACAACAACAACAACACTGATGCCATCCAAAACTATATTATAGAGATATAGTCTAGATATATATTTAGCCAATTACATCTTGGAGCTCTGAGAAACAGCAAACCTCCTCATATTCTTTCATAAATGGTTATTTTTGTGGTCCCCCCTCCACTCATGATGTGTCATGCATATGACTGACGTGCAGTCAGAGCAGGGCATAGTGAGTGTGGGCAAAAGCATGTCCTGCTCCGACTGCATGTCGATCATATGCATGACACTATTTGAGTCTTGTATAATACATTTTATCATGAGATTATATTATATTACTTGTGTAATAATTATATTTCTGACTCCATGGTTATTTTAGGAAAAGCACTACTTAAGATCTGTGTCTGTCTGCTTCAAAAATGACTGACAGTGTTTCTACGTCCCCTGATAATGTGTGATGCTTTAAATAAGGACCTGTAGCAAACATGAACTCAATAAAAAGTTTCATCTGTTAAAAGTGCATCAGGGGAACTGGGTGCTTTTTATCGGGCTTCTCTAGGACCACAACACACTGGTGTTTTATATTTAGCATCAGCTAAAACAGAAACAGGAAACTGTGACAAACAGTTATAGACCAAAATGATTGAAAAGATATATCTGGGGTTTGCAAGAACCTCAGTCGGTAAAACGAGGGTTTAATTCATGATCACTTATATTCGATACAAGTTCAGAAGATGCAGTGTGTCTTTAAATATGCAGTTATACGAGGTTATGTTGGGAAAAAAAAAAGTTGCAGCAACAAACAGGACAGATGGGCTGGAGGAGGGCTGACATATAACAAGGTGTTAAGTGTTTGTGTGTGTGTTTGTGGGTGCGTGTGCGTGAGTGTGAGTGTGTGTCTGTGTGTGGTGACGAGGGAGCGTAACTAGTCATCACCATGGCAAACTATAACCCACACCAACCTACAACACAGGAGGCGACACTGATGACTAGATGCGCGCGTGAGATTGTGTGTTTGTGTACACGGCGATGAGAACAGACTGGCAGCTAAATAAAACTCTGCAGCATCCCACATGTGCTCTGCAGAGGGTGAAGGTGTGTGTTTCTAAATCGGCCGTCACCCTGGAGTTTCAGCACGCAGCCCGCAGATGCACAATTCACAACAACACACTCGCTCTTCTTTCCTTGCACAATGCAAACAGTTGGGATTAACTCTCTGAACGCCGAGCAGTTTTTGGGGTGTTTTTTTTTTTGCTCCTGTCACATTTTTCCTCACTCATTTTTCACTGCAACATAAAGTCCTGTGACTCTACAGAAACAGCACAGCCATGACTGGAAGTACAGAGAGGAGGCTTTTGTGTGGTCATAAATCATCTAAAAAGAAAAACATAGGCTGAATTTTATTGATTATTTGTTTTACAAAAACTGAAAAAAGGTCATGTTTAGACCATTTTCCCAAATGGGGGCTCTACATGCTCTACATATTTCACTATTTACACTTTCACAGCCTCTACAAACTTGCTTCTTTTACACTTCTCTGCACACCAACTCTAGAAAAGATATTTCACCAGGCTGACTGTATTAACTTGCTTCTCTGTAGACTGTTTTTGAGCCATGCTGCACATATTAAGTATGTTTTTTTTCTGTGCAAACACAGCCTGTAGTTATTAAATTATCACATGATTATTGGTCGCAGCGGATTCAAACATGGCTTCTGATTTAAACTGAGACGTGCAGAGCTGTTTTATTTTTTACAGAAGCTTAGATTTGATTGTAGGTCCCATGGTTAACGTAACGACTGTTGGAATGTTAAAAAAATTTGACAATTCTGATAAACAGTGTAAATTTAGTCATTTTAAAAAAAAAAAAAGAAAACATGCCTTTAAAAACTTTCAGTGAGTTTTAGGATTCAGCTCAAATGTACCATCAAAGCTACAAAAAAGTCTGGGGGGAGGGGAAGAAGAGGACAGAAGCTCATTGGAAAGACAAAAAAACAACGCTAGTGAGGGAAATGAAGCAAAATGGCTTCAAACTGAATTATTGTTTAACAAAAAATAGAAGGTGAGCATGAAACACTGTCTTTTTCAGTTGATAGTCTGTCAATCTGGTATTTCAGCTGAATCTAAAATAGAGAACAGGTCATGGCAAAGCAGTACAGTGAAAGCTTCTGTCACCATTTTCCACCTTCTATTCTTCAGCTTCCATTTTATAATGACTTGTTTTCAAACACAGAATAACAGCCTGATAATCATTTTTTAAAAAGAAATAATGTTCAAACTCTGCAGTGTATGAATAGACAGTGTTGGCAGTAACCCTGTGGTCGTATGCGCTGTTATCTTACCACCAACAAACTGGATCCATTTTAAAATCAATCCTGTACGCTTCACTGAGTTGATCACTGTACAGAGATTAAAACAAACATGATTCCCGCTCCTGTAAGTTAAGTTTTATGAAACTGTCTCGGCCACTATCCGACTGCTCTGCTGTGAATATCTGTGGGGAACACGTGACCTTAAACAGGAAACTTAATATTAGCATCAGCGCAGACTGATCTTACTAAACACCTTATAGACTGAGGAAACAAAGGCTGAACAGAGGTTTGTAAAGATCTACAGATTTGCTGCAGCAACCCTAAACTACATTAAACTTACGTTCACTTCAAACTTATTGAAGTATTTTGCAGGAGAGACGACAATGAACTGGAAATATTGTGATTTGTGGTCTGTGTAATCCCTACGCCACAATTCAACATGCAGTAATTAGGGCTGCACAATTAATCGAATATTAATCTTGCTACAATTTTGGCTTCTAGCAATCAAATAAGCATGATTCACAGCAATACTGGCATTTAAACTGCTCGGCTCACAGAAAACTCACATCAAACTAAATTCTCCCCTAAACTAACAGGGATCCACGAGTGGGTTATCAAGATGTTTTGGCTTCAGTTTTGGGAAGTATGCATCCCTGCAATGCAAAACTTTCCTGGACGTTGTGGCTGCAGATCAAAGTCAAAGAGTAACACACAACAGAGAGCAGACAATCAAGAAACAACTTCAAAAGTCTGGAACAGATGGCGAAGAGCTCGTCCCTCAAAGCGGATCATCATCGGTTGCACGTTGCAAGTATTTTGGATTTAGGGCAAGTGATGTTGATCAATAACAAATCATATTTAAAGAGTGCGTGGGATGTGCAAAACAAAACAGAAAACGTGTGTATAGCGCCACTTATCTCACTGAATCCCCATTTTTTTCCAGCCAAACTGTGATACTATACAGGGTGACAAAATATTGAACAATGTAGAAGTGAAAGCTGTAAGTAAAAGGTCTGATTTGGTAGATCATGGCGCCCTATTAGGACCATAGGATGACGCACACCTATTCCAATCATTGATGAAGCCTATACAATGCGGGTGAAGGTTCTATGAAATGTAGTATTACTATGCTACATTGGATTGGATCTTACGAGAATGACCTCAATATCGACTAAAAAAAATCAGGAGCATCATTTTGACCTTTTGGTGCAGCACAAATCCTAACTCATGTTTGCAATTTCAACAACTTTGTGTTAGAACTCTGCTCTCAGTCGCAGATGCTCCTGAACACGAGTGCAGAGAGAAATTTGTACCTTTCAGAAGATGAAGGACTAACCTTGCACTTGCTGGTTTAAACTGGAGGCAGAGGTTTGGTTGCTAAGATGCAGAACATACTTTGGATTATGAAAAAAATAAAAATAAAAAAAAGGCAACGGTGAAAGTAAGACCAGAGATTTCTTTGCTTGAACTAACAAGTGTAAGGCGGTTGCGGCGGCAGAAAACATAGATTGGGAGTTGACGCAAAGCAAATAAATGATTAGGGGTGATGAATGAGGGAAGTACACGTAGCGGCTGATAAGACCCAATCAGGAAGCCAATGTGGGTGTCTGTGTCATCGTTTCCAAAAGTCACTGTTTAAAATGAGTTTTCAAACCAGAGCAGGGTCTGGAGCATTTCCTGGATGCCTCACTCTTAGGCTTCCTAAAACGCAGGAGTAGGCGTAAATGTGCAGAAAGTTAAATGTGTGTTAGAAGCCTCGGTCTCACCTGAGAGCTCGGCTGAGCTTGTCGTAGTTCATCTGAGGTTTACACTTCCTGGCCCCCCACAGCCGAGCCACCTCGTCCGGGTCCTTGATGACGAACTCTCCATAGTCTCCCTGCCAGGCGATGACGTCGTGGTACTCCTCTTTCCTCAGCAGCTCCAGGATGAAGTGCCACAGCTGGATCTGCCTGGATCCGGGGCTGGACTCCGGCTTGTAGGCCCATTCTGGGAAAGCAAACCCTATCGTCAGACAGAAAAAGGTGGTGTTCAGGTGGATGATCATGAAAATGTTTGATGATTGATGTTTAAAAAACCCCCAAAAAACAGGTCAGACAAGAAAAGCTCCGGGTTTACCGTCTTGTCTTGTGTTGACTCATGTGTGAAGCGCATGTGATTAAAACATTATCCCTCCGAAGCTGTTAATTGGTCGGCTTAACTGCAGCCATTTTGTTGCCAGGGTCAACAACACAATAGTGTAAAACTGCTTTTGTTTAGAGCTAATAACAGTCAGGATTTTAAACTGCGAGTACAGACATTTTAGGGGAATCGGCAAAGTGCAAGGTTAGGAGAGTGCAGCGTTTGAGATGGGATGAAAGACATGAGATTGGTTGGAGTCACGAAACAAAGGATGAATCGTTACGAAATCCTCAACACATTTCTGTCTATGGCGGCTGATGAGCATTTCGGTCAAAGCTGTTCTCACAGGCTTGCAGTCATATCAAAACTTCCCTGCTATCTGCATCAAAGCTGGAAAAATCAGCACTGTTTAAACAGATTAACAGGCCTTGAAATATGTGCAGCCAAAATATAAGCTATGGTTTTATAACTACTATCAGCACACGCAGTCACAAAAGCACACACACTATTATCCAAAAGTTAAAAGTATAGGCTTTGTCTTGTAAAGCAGTGGGTGGCAGTAAAAGACTCAACACCACTTCAACAGAAGGCCAGGCTGAAAGGCTGAATAGCAAAGGCATAGTGACACACACACACACCTTATTAGGACCAGATGTGCTCTGGCAATCAGGCTGAGAAAGCTGAGGGTGGGAAACATATGGGCACAATATAACAATGCTGAATTTTGTGTGTGTATGTGTTTATGTAACTGTAAAGAAACGCACTATCCTAAATACCAAGGTTACAATCAGTTTCCCACACTCTACAAAGCCTGTCATATCTATATAGCAGTGACAGTGAACTGTTAACAATGATATGCTCAAGGCTGACTGTGACACCGTTGCGATGTGGCCTGTTAACCAGCGTTCGGCTAACCTGGACGACACAATCACGATGATGTTAAGTTGTTGCATTGCATTGCAGTGCATGCGATCATCATCTCAAAATATTATCTGATGCATGTGTGCATGCAACCAGCAAAACTGGCAAATGTTAATTCTTTTTATCCTTTACTGCCTTGTCAACATTTGATAGGAAACTGCTTCGGGGCAGCTTCGTGAAACGGAGACAATAGCACAAAAAAAAAAACAACCACAGAAAAGCACAACACCAGATGAAAACCAGATAAGATGACATAAAACCAGAAAAGAGAAAGAGTTGTAAAAGTTGGAGGGGGAAAAAAAAAAAAAAAAAAAAGAGGACACACCTGGTTACTAAATTCCTGTGTGAAGTAAACTGTATGTGGTGGCCAGATGATGATTAAATCAATTATGACTTCTCCATTTACTACACATGTGCTGCCATTGTTTGCACAGTGTGCGTACTGGGACTGGATTCATTGATGAATAGCAAAGTAAACAATTGGCAGGCTCCAGTTTGTTAAAAATGATATGTGTGCGTGATATTTACCTTATTTCATAGGTAGGTTTTCATCAAGAAGGCCATTTTTAGCTACTTTCAGCTGCTTTGAATTCAAAGTGAACCATTTAAAAGTGCAAAAACTGATTAATGTCTTATTTATAAAGCCATGCTGTGGCCGACACCTGGGTAAATTACAGCACTCCTCTGTCCTCAGTCCACCTTTAGGCCTCCTAGATCCTGTGGCAAGTTGTTTTAACATTTAATAGCTAGACTGCATATGTATTGCAGACATCCGTAATTCAAGTCTTCCTAGTTTGAAAAGAACTTTCAAGGTATCCACGTGGCTCTTCTTCCTAGGACAAGTGATACCGTGTTTACCACCCATGTGTTTCTCATTACAGATATCTACAATTTAGAATTCACACTGAAGGTATCTGCAGCTGCATTTTACAGCAGTTTTATCCACCACGGCAGCTGCCATTATTTTTTCTTAACGTTGGTAAAAGACTTTGCTGAACCAATATCCAAACCTTCCAAATTCAGACTAGGAATAGAGGCGTTTGAGATCTCTGCACCATTTGTTTTGACGAGTAAAAACTGAATTATAGACTAACTACCCACAGAGTAATAACAACTAGCCAAAATTACATCGTTGATATCTGTAATTTTAATTCTGGATAGTCAAACTTAGCAACTAAATGTTAAAAGCTGGACATGAAGCTCCTCAGAACAACCGTTTCATGATTGAGGCTAGTGGCTAAAGAAAACTGTGCCTTTGTGGTTCCTCCTCCATTGACACTTAAGAAAAATCTCAAGACATCCATGTTTCCAGCTGCCTTTGGTTGCTCTTTGTGGCTTTATTACTTTACTATTTCATGTTTGTTTTATTTTAGATTGTTATCCTTCAAACTTTTATGTTGGTTCTTTCAGTATTTTATACTATTTTTTCTCTGTTTATGAATTGATTTGACAAGTTTTTATCCTGTTTTCTTATTTTCGTTCTCCTTCTCCTATAACATGTACAGCACTTTGGTCACCTCCAGCTGTTTTAAATTAAACACACTTAATTTAATTCTGTTTGTAAAGCTGAGTGGACATCAAACGCCAACATCCCTACTCACATGGGAGGTGCTTTTCTTAAGAAAAAGGAACACTGTTTGAACTTAGGGGAACTCAAATAATTGACTCTGCTGATAATTAATACAATGCACTGATAAAGTCAATCAGATTCTAGCCACAAGGGTGCACGTGTCTACAATCTGCTCTGACATTAACATGTGTTTTCCCGTATCCAGATACAGATCACATTTTATTAGCAGGTGTAAATGGAGTCAAAGTGAGTCATGGAAAAACTCACCAAGTTGGACACAGTGAAACCAAAGTCCACTATCAGGTGTGCAAAGAGCGTCTGCAAATGCACAGTCGGGGAAGTCGTGTCAGGACTGTCAGCAGTAGTAGTGACACACAACCGACAAGAAGGGGCCGAGTCAAACCACAACAAGTGACGATTCATAAACTAAGACCTACAACAACACACGACTCACACAGAGAGAAGAGAAAAGCACAAAAACGCACTTGCAAATGCAGCAGCTGGTGTTGACAATATACAGTGTTGCCACATTACAGCAAAAAAGGTCAAGTACAGCTCAACTGAGGAAGCAGATTTTTCAGCGCATGAAGAACCGCTCACATTGTCAGAGGAGTTTAAACTTAGCAAACAGCCCAACTCCCGAGTATTGCACCGGCATCCTGCCTTTGACATTGCTATGAGCTCCTATGTAATCAGTGTCTGGCTCAATAATCGAGACACACACCAGTTGAGAAACTGCAATCTGCTTTTCCCCTTTAGGACAGATTCAAGAGCTCCAAGCTGCGCTGTTTTGTAGTCCAAATTTTGCAAGAACTTTGGTGGGCCAGAGCTGCATTGTTTCATTCCCTGATTTAATTCTTTTCGTACACTGAAATTACTGGGATATTTGATATTTTTACAATGTTGCTCAATTTCAGACTGAATGACTTAACACTTGGTACAAAACTCTAAGTGGCTAAATATGTGTTTTTAATACAGTTTCATGCATTTTGTACTGCATTTACAGATAGTATTCCTAATGTTTGCATTTTGGGAGTGTGCTGAGCGTTCAGATACACAACATGTTTTTATGCACATTCTGGAAATGGCAAAATTGAAAAATCCTAACTTCAGGTGTTATCTGACTTGTTAAAGGGCTTCATAGGACATGGAACCACCTTCTGCAAATAAGTTCTGACACAGCAAACATTTAACTCACATGACCGATTAGCTGTTTCCGCTTCTCTCGTTATCTTGGTCTTTGAACAGCATAAAACATGTCCAATACTAGCTGACATCAAAGAATAATTACAACTTGGCTGACTAAATTTTTCTCTCATACATGGCCAAACTTTTCTTTTGTTTCGTCTTCCTTTTTCAGCGATTATGCAAATTTTCTAATCAAAATTGTCATTTGAAACAATGCAATTAACAAACCACAAAGGCTGCATTTTAGCGTACGTGTCATGCAACACGTCTGACCCAGGGTTTAAACTGTGATGCAATAAATGCGTGCCGTCGTCCTCGTGTGATAGTCATGCTTTAAATGGTAACTTATGTGGTAATGCTCCATCACATGCCTGAAACCAATCACTCAGCAAATAGTGAACTGAAGCAGGACTTCTAAAACTTATAGTGCTAATAAAATTACATTATCTGGAAGAAGAAAATGCAACTTCATATTTCTCCCAAACTGCTGTTGACAAATAACATTTCAAAAGTTTGGAACACAGCTTGTGTATTAGAAATCAGAGCTGAATATGGCTCGTTCAGATTGTGGTGTCTCTTTGTCTTCCTTCTTTCTCGAAATGGCAAAAAAATACATCTCACCCATGACAATGTTCATTTAGAATAGAAAGAAGCGTGACTTTCACTCTCCAAGTCTTTAAATATGGTGGCTCTTAACTTTCACAAACTAGCACTTCTTTTTTATGAAGGTGGCAGCTAACACAATCAAAAAATGTTACGCAACTTACGGAAAAGGAAAAAAATATCCTGAAAAACAGACCCGCTCCTGATGACTAATAAACCACATGCTGCTATCTGATCTCCTATGGTGCTCGGCGAGAGAGCCAAAAGACAGACAAGCTGGCTGTGATAGTTGCTAATAGCCATTTGAAGGCAGATTACTAATGGGGTACGAGCATATGATTCATACACCACACAATAAGGCTCTTGTTGCCGGGGACAGGTTATGCATTGTGACACAGACACAACACGCTGCCATGTAATGGGGTACACTGGAGAAAAATCCACATGTGCACATGCGGTACACTTCCTTAAACACACATGCACAGACACGCGCTGACGCATACGACGCTCAGCGGGAGTGGATTAAATCAAAGTGGGCGAGCTAATATCTCTCACACGCACAAAGTACACAAATACACAGCACAGGTTAGTGGGGAGAGGT